AGTGGCCAATAGTTAAAGTTGACAAACCATGACAGGTAAATGCAAAAATAACTGATTTTTCAAACTTATACAAATGCAAGAACAATAACAAATAAAAATAATAGAAAGGAAGTAGACTTCTAAACTTCTTTAGAAGTCTGCAAAAATAGTTAAATCAAACAAGAAAATTCATTACTTTGTAATTATAACACATAACAACGTCAAACTCATATAGATGCAACACAAAAAAACAAATAAACATGTCAAAACGAGAAAATCATTTTTACAAGTAACAAATATTTCAAAAATGAATTTTTTAGAAAAATAATTAGGCAGACTTCTTATGCAGTCTGCTGTGATATGCTAATACGTAACAGCAGACTTCATCTACAGACTTCTTTAGAAGTCTGCTTAGATGTGCTAATTACCTTTCAAACCAAAAAAATTCATAACTTTATAATTATAACACATAAACAAACCAAACTCATACATGTGCAAGAATCATACATAAAATACATTTAAAATTTAAAATTAAAAAAAGACATTACAAATAATTTATAAATTGCATTTTAAAAAATACAGACATCCGTTCAAAATCCGCCGGGGAAATTTCACGTTGAAGTCTTCTAAAAAGAAAAAGTTATTTTTGCATTTGACCAAATATTTGACTTTTCGTAGTAGACTTCTTTTTGCAGTCTGCGAGAAGAAAAAGTTATTTTTACAATTGACTAAAAGTTTGACTTTTAAAGCAGACTTCTTAAGAAGTCTGCTGACGAGTAAAAGAAGTCTGCTATAGTAAAGAAGTCTGTTTATGAAGTCTACTCTACAAAAGAAGTCTACTCAATGTTATTTTTGCAATTGACCAAAATGCTGATTTTCGAAGCAGACTTCTAAAGAAGTCTGCGCATAGCAGACTTCTTTAAGAGTCTGCTTGTAGGTCAGATTTGCATTTGACCGAATTTTAATTAAATAAATAGCAGACTGAAAAAGAAGTCTGCTTTCGCGAAACAGAGCTAAATGTTAAAGAAAATGAAGTAGATGTTTACCTACTTCCAATTTAAACTCAATTAACTTTGACAAACACCCAGAATTTTGTATAGCACCGATAACAAACTAGCTAAGTCGTTATTATGCAAGAATCTCCAAAAATAGATGGTTTATGAAATTGGAATTATAAAAATGAGCATGAAAGAGTTTTTTAGATGAAATTGGAGAGAAATTTGTAGGTAAAATAAAGTTATAAGCGACACAATAAGCATTTAGAGCTTCAAAATTGGTTGGACAAACATTTAGAGCTTCAAAACTGGTTGGTAATGGTGGTTGGCAAAATTGAAGAAGATGACATTTTCGTAAATAAATGATATATTTTAGGATGGTTGTGTCTTTTTAGTATTTTTAAGAAAAAAAAAATTAAAAACATAATGGCATTTTTTTGAATATATGTGGTTGTAAGGAGATAGTAGGGAGAAAGTGACATTTATTAAAGAGGGAGAAAAAAAAGTTATTTTTGCATTTGACTTCAAATTGTGGGTTATTTTTGAAAGTACCCCTTTTTTAATTGATACAAAATTTGTATTGTTTTATTCAAGTGATGCTAATATATACATCAATTATTTAATGATATAAAATTTTGTTTTGTATCAATATTGTTTAAGTGATGTGATTTAAAATAAATTAGCATCAGTTTTATGCAATGGATGCCATATAAACTAATAATAACATCAATTATATTAACTGATGTTAATACTGTATAATTTGTGTCACTTGTTAATAAATGAATCTAATTAGTATCAATTACTTTTCTGATACAACTTATTTGATGCTATCTACACTTTTTTTTTTGTAGTGTATCAACGGCGAAGTGATTGGCGGGATCAGTCTGCTCTTAGCTTAGTTTCCACTTTCCTATTAGAGATAGTTTAGAGAATAAGATGTATATTTTGCGAATTAAATATTATGGGCCATGAAAACCCGATTATGATGTGAAGTCCATGAAACTCAAAAGAAGAATTTTGCTAAATTACTTACTATTTTTTTCTTTGTTGACACCATTATTGATGGATACTTAACTATATCATGAAAACTGGTCAATGATAAGAGCATATTTAAGAACGAGTTTTTCTTTAAACCATATAAACAAATTAGATTTTGAAAACAATGAAACTGTAGATGTAGTTACCACTACAAAATGTTGGCCCAAAAATACAATTATTAGGCTAAGGAGGCTTTGAAATGCTCAGTGCTAACCAGGATCAAGCCTTTTCCAATTCTCATGCCACCGTATTTGAGGCTGCTTCTTTAATCCTATAATCCGTAGCATCACCTAACTAACATCGAAGAGCCATTCTTTCGTCTGATCGTGAAGTCAAGAAAATGTCATTCTTTCACCATGTGGCACAAAGTCGTGCATTCCAAAATGCCGTTAAAAGATAGGAATCAGACATGGACATCGTAATCACTGACCTTATTGGTTACAACCTACGATTTTGAAGAGATCATTATTGGTTATATCAAGACATGTTGACTGTTGGTTTATGGTCAGTTTGCGGTCGTGATTTGGCAGATATCAAACCGGTTTAATTAAATTGGTAGTCATGAGAAATTATTTCTTCTAACTTCTCTAAACGAACACATCTGATTCTACATATTGTCTCTCCACATTAAGTATATAAGATATTGAAGAGAGAAGAAAAGGTATATTTATAACAGTTGGTGATTGTTGTTAAGCAAGTCTCTGCATTAATATATAAGATATTGAGAAGAAATGGTATATTTATAACAGTTGGTGATTGTTGTTAAGCAAAAAGAATACAATGGTGAGAGAAAATATTTTAGAAAGAAAGTTTGGAGAAATCAATTGAAAAAACATTTGAACAGTGATAAGTGGTTGATTTCTATTTGTGATATTTTTTCCGATCTCTGCATCCATTTTCAGATTATATCTAGTCATATTTATCTCTAAATCATGCTATGTATGTGTTTAGTATTCACATCCGTTTCCACATAAAACTCTAACATTGACAAATATTGGGCCACTACAAAAACAAAGATGGTTGCTCCAATCACAGATATTTAAATTAAATATGCCCATTTCTTGATGCATGTTTTACAAACAAACCACTCGAACTAGACGATTTTACAATGGATTTGTACAAACTGTGGTTAATAATTGGGAAACAGTTTACAATTGTTGTGCAATGGCAAACAGTGTTCTCTCAAAACTGCTGAATCATGTTGCAGCAATGGGAAAACTTGGCTATCAACCTTGGAAGATCAGAAAAAATTAAGTTTTGTGGATGATATATTGGTATTCACAGATGGATCTCTGACTTCATTGCATGGTATTCAGAGTGCTTTTAGAAGTAAGTAGAAGAGCTCATTAATGGTGAATAAATAGTTAGTTGTATATTGATCAGAATTTCTTGTTTTGTGCTTATATTAGTCGTTGTTGCACTTCTATAGATACTCTCTCTCTCTGATGTTTAAGGTTTTTGCATATAGATTAAGAATTCATTTAGTTAATATTATTTATAATCATTTAAAAATAATTTAACCAATAAAAAAACAATTTGCAGAATATAAAATGTCAAAATAATAAAAAATTATTAAATTTTATATTGAAAAGTGTAAACATCAAATAATTCTGAACAAAAATACCTCCTAAAACATCAAATAATTTTAAATAGAGAGAGTATAATTTCTTAAACAGAAATTAAACATTAGCGCGACTACGTAAGTTCCCTTCCAATTTTATTACTTCTTGATTATTTAACGTCATCCAAATACTAATTTGACCGCCAGAGAGTGTTAAAAATAAGATTGGGGTATATATGACTTTCGATCATTTACTTGACTTTTCTTTAACAAAAAAAAATATTGATCGTTTATGTGATTGTGTCTATGTAAATTATGCTTATTCGAGTTGGTTGATCAAACCGCTTATATTTATAAGTTGAAAAAATAGTATCTCGACTTTTAAACTATTTTTATAAAGATGTCAATTTTTCTTTTTATAAAATAAAAATGTATATGAAATTGAGACATTTTTTTATCACAACATTAAAATGATCTTTGATTCAAAATTTCCCAAACATTTCTCACTGAGACAGCCATAGTAGGCTAATATATTTTGGATAAACTTGTTGACCATAAACTAAAGTCAATTCCAACAAAAATGTATATACTTTCAAATGGTACTATAAATACAACAAACGGTCGTCTAAAAAAAATACAACAAACGAAAGTGAAAGTCTAATCAATAAAACCAAAAAATCAAAGTGTTAGTCAAAGAAAATAACATAATTAAACAGAGATGAAAATTACCTGAACAGAGATGAAAATTATCTGATTATAAAGTAAGACGTGAAATCTGAAATTAATATCCCAAATTTAAGGGAGAAGACTGTCACCAAGTCAAATAAAATACAACTAAAGTTTTTTTTTTTTTTTTTTGAAACAAGGGTTAATAGACAACTAGAGTTTCTCTGTATTTCTTTTTTCTTATTCTCTATATCTCACAAATGATACGTTTTGTTATAAGCAAAGTTCTTTTGACTGTTCATAAATCTCATTTTATAGGGAATTGTCAATGTGTAAAGTGATAAGCACAAACTTTAACAAAGTAGTTTCACAAAGAGATTATTAATTTTCTCTTTTTCCAGAGCCTTATTATGAATCTGCTCATTTTCTTTTGCGTAAAATACCGTTTGGCGTAGAAATTTTTCTTTTTTGTCCTAAAGACTCATATCTTTTGTAAAATTGCGTCTATAAATATGTGCATTTTCCAAAGTACAAAACATTAATGAATTTTGACCCAAAAAGAAAAACATTAAAAATATTGTCTAGATGCGAGCCAGAATTTCAATTATTCTCATTTACAAGCTAATTTAGTACGCCATATTCCATTGAAAATATTAAAATCCACCAAATTAACCATAAACTTTCCGTTGTTATTATTTAATCCCCGAGTCATCTCAAATCGAACCAATGGTATATTGTTTGGATAGTTTTCGAAAGTAAGTGGCTTTTCTCGTAAATAATAAAATTATATCAGCGATTAGCCGAATGAATTATCCAGAGACCACAGTGAGAAAAGTGGAGATTGGTCAAAAATGGAAGCAGCGACGAAGCAGAGCGTTACAAATCGTCTTCTCGCCGTGAAGTCAGCCTCCGGCAAGACTTACAGCCAATTAGCGGCGGAGACCGGTCTCACCAACGTCTACGTAGCTCAGCTTCTCCGTCGCCAAGCCCAGCTCAAACCCGATACGGTCCCGAAGCTCCGAGAAGCCTTACCGGATCTAACCGACGAACTCATCGGCGCGATGATGTCTTCTCCTTGGAGATCCTATGATCCAAACCTCATCCAAGAACCCACCGTCTACAGGTTTTCATTCTTTCCTTATAAAGATTGAACCTTTAGCGAATTTGAAATTTTTGGGGGGTTTTGAATTTCTGGGTTTTAAAATTGTTTTCTTTAGGTTGAATGAAGCAGTGATGCATTTCGGTGAGAGTATAAAGGAGATTATCAACGAAGATTTCGGCGACGGCATGTAAGTTTTAAATTGCGCTTGAGATTGTTGTATTGGTATATGAATGGATCCACTATGTTCTTAGTATGTAAAGTCTGAGTTTTGGATGGCCACTTTAGCTTCTATTTGAAGTGAAAGTTTCTTGATTTATCGGTATGTCATTTGTTCTCTGCATTCATTTTGTTGCCAAAAATTACGCTTTAAGATTGTTGTATTGGTGTGAATGTATTCACTATGTTCTCAGTATTAAAACTCTTGAGTTTTTGATTGTCACTTTAACAGGATTATGATTTAGTAGAATCCTTTGTTTCTATTGAACTGAAAGTTTCTTGATTTATCGGTTTGTCATTCGTTCTCTGCATTCATGTTGTTGCCAAAGATTTTGTTCTACATGTCATTCTTAGCTCGTGCTATGTGCATAGTTTTGTTCCTTGTAAAGAAGTTGTAAGTTGATATTGATTCCTATTAGCTCAATTGGTTGCTGATTCTGCTTCCAAGTTTGTTGCTATTTTCCTTAAGAAGTAGAATGATCCATCAAAAACCCTGAGTCTGTTAAATGGTATCTTTAAAGCCTGAGCCTTTTGTTACTTTGTATGCGTATTTGTATAGCATGTCGGCGATAGACTTCTATTGCTCTGTGGACAAAATCAAAGGAGTTGATGGTAATAATCGCGTGGTTGTTACTCTTGATGGGAAGTATCTGTCGCATTCCGAACAGGTTAATGTCTCATTTACAATGCGTATTTGTATATATGTATTCACAATGTTGGAATGATTTGGGATCATTTTGTTGCAGAGGACGGAGAATATGGTCTCAAGGATAAACCTCCGGGGAAGTACAAGCGAGTGATATGAATGTAAGAAGCAATCGAGTGATACGAATGTAAGAAGCCTTTACATAGCCACATGAAGGTCTTATTGTAAGCTGTAACATTGTAACATTTATGGTGTTTGTTTTATCTAAACTCTATGCAACTTTAGCCTCTAGGTTAAAGCTGTTTCAGGTTGAATAATAGTGATAAAATGTATAAAACTTGATCTTTCGACTATACTCAGTCTTTGGCACGCAAACATTGGAACTTGACAGAAACACAAGACAAGAAATGATTCATCTACTCTTGTGTTGTCTGAGCAGAAGGCAATCCATGGAATGGATCCCCTAATGCAGCAACGTTCCATGGACGAGAAAAAAACTACCTGCAATGTTGCAGAAACGCAAGTCTATGTTGAGTAACATTGAGGGAAGATGCATAATTATGTTTCTGGTTAATGCTCGAGTGTTTGTGTTGCCTGGTAATCTCCAAGGGTAAGAGTCTTGAAACCAGCTTCACTATAGTCGAAATCAACAGTAGGTAAAAGAGAAAACTCTCTCGTTTATTAATTTTCAAAAACCGAGCAACAATGAAGCCATAAGTTTAAATTAAAAAATAATTATAAGCCTTAATCTCAATCGATTAGGAAAAGCAAAATAGCTATGAAAATGTTACGGAAAATAGGAAAAAGAAAACTAGTGAACAAGGAAACAACACAAGAAAATGATTAATCTACTCTTGTTTTGTGTGAGCAGAAGGGAAACTATAGAATGTATCCCGAACGCAGCTACCTGTAATGTTGCATAAACACATAAAGTTATAATGCTCGAAAAAGCATGATTATGTTTCTGGTTTATAATGCTCGAGTGTTTGTGTTACCTGCTAGTTTTTAAGTGAATGAGCCTTGAAACCAGCTGCATAATAGTTGAAATAATATACCCATGTCCTTATGAATTTATCATCAAATCCAAGATTCATGATTTCTCTGCCCAGATAATAGTTAGTTTTTTTTTTTTAAGTACATATCAACAAAACATACTGATTCCTGAAAGAAGAAAAGAAAAAAAGCAGAGTAAAGGTTTTTAAGATTTAATATACTTTTGTCTCTCCAAGAAGCTCTTCCTCCAAAATTTCAAAGTTAGGTAGTAATGAATCCCAATGTTCTCAACGTCTTCAACGCTGTAATTTTTATTGGTGTTAGACAGAAATGCCCTAGAAGTTTACGCTAAACTCTGATCAAGAAAAGATTTATTTACCATAGCCTAGAAGAAGAGGCCATAGCTGAAGTAACTCTGGCTAAAGAGGGAAGACATCCACCAGGGAATATGTATTCTTTTATGAAATCTGAACTTAGTCTACACTCATCATAACGCTCATCGGGTAACGCTGTGAACTGTTAAAAACATTAAAATGATCAAACGGTTTGTGTGCATATCAATGAGAAAACCCTGGAGGGAAGAAGCTAAGTATTACCTGCATGACAAATATACCGTATGGTGCAAGAACGGCTTCACAACAACTGAAAAACGTCTCATAAAACTCGTCGCCAACCGCTTCTATCATCTCGCTAAAACATCAGAAAAAAAAATAAGTATTTTCATAAAGACAGATTACAATTTTATTTTTAACAAAGAGGGAGAAGAAGCAAAAAAAGAGGTTTTACCAAGCTATAATTCTGTCATATTTGTGAGCATCAGATAGTTGGCGATAATCACGAAGCTCAAGTGTTATCAGATCCTGGTGATTTCATACGTAATATTATTAAATATAAGGCACAATGTTACTGGTATTAGAAACCATATTAAGAGATGGATTTTAGACAAAACCTCAAGTCCAGCTTCTTTCACTTTTGCTTCTGCATATTTAAGTTGTTCAATAGACAGAGTAATGCCAGTGTATTTGCAACTAGTTCTTCTCACTACTTCTATGGCCAAAGTTCCCCATCCACATCCAATCTCCAAAACCTCATGGTTTTTCTCTATCCTCGCCTGAAATTTCTCACTTTTTATCATTAAAGGGCAGAGAAAAATCTAGTTACTTGTTATAAATCAAGAAAAATGCTCTCTCCTATAGATCTTTACCTTTTCAATTAAAAGAGATATTTTTCTCATCTGTGCAGTTCTAAGATCCTCATTGTCTGGCTATAAAAGCGTGAAAATGGCGAAAGGTTATCATAGTGAAGAAAGAAGAACTGAAAAAGAGTAATGATGTTTTTGATGGTCACCTTGAATATTGCAGCGGAGTAACACATGGTTTCATCCATGAACAAACCAAAATGCTCGTTGCTCTGCGAGCAGAGAATTCGATTATATAAAGCCTCAAAAACCTAGGAAGAGTGTTTATCAAGAGTAATAGAGAGGTAGAGATTCAAGCCACATACAAGGTCATAGTGATGAGAAATATTCCTTCGAGCTTGAGTTAAAGTGTTCTTGTTAAAGACATGCTTTACAAAATACTTTGCAGATGCTAAACCGGCAGTTAGAAACATCGGCGTCCACCATCCTCTATAAGATGTAAAAATAGATAATGAAAGCTTAATTAGGCGATATAGTTTGCATGCCAAGCCTTAATCACTTATGTAGAATTGAAGAAAGTTGAAATTTTGATCTTTTTTTAGATAGATTTGATCTTGTTGAGTTCAGATCTCTGTTAGCAATGAGAATCTGCAGAAAGTTTTAATTAGTGAGCAGATAAACATAAGAAATAAGTAAATAACTCGAACAATCGAACAAGTACCATAAACAAATTCAAAAGTCCTGAGTTACTATCAACGAAAGAAAAATCTCCATCGATATAAGCATCTGCGAGTCCTATATCCGCTCGTGTCATAACCTGAGAATCAAGAATCAAGAAATCAAGAATCAATGTTCTTGAGCTATATATGTCAAGGCTAATATAACTTTTTCATTGTCTTATATATATGTACCTTCCAGTAAAACTGAGGACTGTGAATCTCGAGGGTAGATTTCAAAGGACAAGAAGAATCTTTTCCTCCAAAAGTGAACATCGTTCCTTCTTCTTCAAGTAAGCTGTTCAGTTCATAGCGGTTAGTAAATGTAACAATGGCGTACGTAAAATTATATTATCTATATCGAGGAGATAAGGTGAGCCTCACGTACGCAACCGATGGATATGAATTGTCCCAAGAATCTAGTAACGAAAAGCCGAGCCCAAGTCTCGGTTAGGGAAAGGACCTTATGTTGCAGATTCTTCAGAAGAGTGGCTTCTTTCCCAAGCAAACCTCGTGCACCTGCCATACTAGTCTAAAAGACAACAAGACCGTGAGTAATATGCAATGTGGAATGAAGAAAAAGGGCTTTAATTATAAATGGGAAATTATTAAAAAAAATATCATCAACTTTCAAATTTTAACCATTTAAAGCATAAATTTTCAAATGTGATTTATATTGATTTTTTATTTAAATCATATATTTTTGTTGACTAAGTTTAAATAATCATGTTCGTAATAAAACGATTAAACGGGTTAGTACATTGCCTTTAATCCATTTTCACTGAAATTTGGGCTAAAAAGTAGTCAAAAAAATTAAAGTTATAGTATTCTTCACATTAATGTGGTTTTATTATCATAACTAGATTTTGCGTCTACGTTATGCCTGGGTATTTTGTTGATAAAAATTTATGCATTTAATTATATTTATTAAGATATAAATTTTATATATTAGTATTTTAATAATATAATAAAAATTTTATGGTGTTAATCTAATAATTTTTATGTAAATTGTGAGATTTCAACAGTTTTTTTAATCTATATACAATATGTCGTTTTTCAAAAACGTACTATTTGGTCAAACATTTATAAGTTAATGTATACTCAAACCAACTAAAAATTTTACAAAATAATCAAATGTTACTTTTTAAACATATTATTGATATGACGATAAAATATTTTATATTCACTTCTTTAAATCAAGAAGATAGTTTTTTTTCATCATTTTCACTTTCATTCCAATTATATATGTGATCTTTAAAAAAATAAAAATTATTAGATTTAAAATTGAATATTTTTTCTTCTCTTGTTTAACCAATACAATTTTTTTGATCTATTAATTAAAAAAACAAACTAATAAATAAAATTTTTGCATCGAGATTAATAACAACTTTTGAAACAAAAAAATAGTTGAATATGAAATGATCAAAATCACACAAAATTTGTGAATTAATTATATTTTTGCCTATTGCTTGTCTTAACTTTTAAATAATTTTTCAGTGATTATATCTCATCTCTTTTAATAAGAATAAAAATAATTTTCATCATGTTTATTTTTATTTTTGTTATATCTATTTTTTTCAATAATATATTATTTTTATTTATTTTAATAATTTATTTTATGATTATATTCAGTTTCATCATATTTATTGTCATTTCTTCTAATTATAATTAAATAAGCAAAATCGATATAATTTAATAAATACAAATTTAGAAAAATGAATAACAAACTGGATAACTCAAAATAGAGTTCTTTGTTTGTCTTTTCTTTTTGATTTTTGTTTTTTATTTATAACCTTGAAACACGAAAGCGGAATAAAATGAATATATTGGAGAGGGATTGAAGGCTTATGATTTTCGAGTGTATTGTATAAATCAGCGACGTTGTGTTTAGTACTTATATTCACACGACGAGATGCCTATTCAAAATGAAGTAAAATATAGCAATCCACACGTAAAAATCGTGTGGCTCTCCTATCAACACCATTTCTCATCCAATATTTTTTCCTTGCTTTTTAAATCTATTTAAAATAAATATCTAACTAGTTGATTACCCACACCATATATAGAATAAATATTAACCATAATTCTTTTATTCGAATATGCAAATATAATATATATAAATGCAGCTATAAAAATGTTATCTGATATTTATAATTGCAAATATATATATATATATGATTATGCAATTATAAATAATGATCAAAGTTATATTTATTTTATAATACAATTGCATAAATGTTAGATAATTATTGATTTTATAATTAATTTTAGTAGTATTTTTTATATGAATAAAATTACATATTATATATATACTAAATTAGATTAATATGTTCTACTTAATCGGTCTAACATCAGACTAATAACATCAGACTAAGATACTTTTCTTTGATAAAAAAAATGTGAATTATAATATGAATGAAAAAATTTAGATTTTATTATCACTAAATAGATAATATGATAATTTTTTAACAAAATTAAGATTAAAGAAAGATGAGATAAGAAAATAATATTTAGTAACATAAGTAATAGTATGTATTAATTTATTTTATAAATATATTGATAAGAAATAGAGAGAGAGAGAGAGAGAGAGAGAGAGAGAATATCTTTACAAAATAAATGTTTGAGTATTAAATATATGTTTGATATAAACTAATTTTAACCAAATTAATGTTAATGACATATGATGTAATTAATCTAATAAGTTGAGTCTAATTTCAAAATATCATTGAGAAGCTCTCTGAGATTGACACATCAGCATGACAAAGTTGTTAATAACACATGACATAAATTTTTTTTTTTAAATGTCCTTCTCAAATAATAATAGAAGATGTTCTCGAAGGCTCCATGGACTCATCCAATACTGATCCAAAATGCTCATTAGTTTAAATATTTTTTATACTTGATGTTATAAGTTAAATTAATTTTCATCGACATAACAATTGTCTTGAAAAGCAAATCATATCGGTTTTGTGTAACTTTGTAACATTATAGTTAGATGAAATGAAAATAAATTAAAATCTTCGATACAATTCTTAAGAATACAAATATTGTGTAGGTCCGATTGAAATAAGGACCAATCCACTTGTTCTTCGACTAGTTTTATCAAATTGATCACTTCGTCTTGCATCTAACCGAAAATATCTACTTCTCTCTTAGATAATACATAGCCCAAATAAGCAAATCCATCTTATCATGTATGGCCTACAGACTTCTTCGACAATTTTGTAATCTGCTAAACTCTTGCCTATAACATGCCTATGATCAATCCAAGAGAACATCGATATAGCATGTCAGAATATAAAAAGACTAAGCGAACAAGCTTATGGTATCTTGTTGTTGTACAACTTCGACGTTTGTAAGTCATATAAGATAACTTTGGCTAGACCGGCTTTGAAGTTCAATAAAGAGGCTATTCTTGTTTTGTTCTCAGGTGAGTGCATCTCAATAATATTGTATGCCCACCACTGTTGATTCTTTCTTTTAACATAGTGTTTTATCATCTATGGTTCCAAGAGATGTGAAATTCGCATCCGGGTTCCTAACGTACTTGTTATTGAGGAATCATTCAGATTTTGATCACTCAATAATGCTTTTGATAAACACAATTAAACTGTTTTATCACTTGATCCTTATTCTTGAGTGGCATGCAGATAACTGTAAGCTGCGTTGAGAATCTGCCTACTGTGACTGTGGTTCTTGGAGAACATTTGCATTTGATATTTGGTGACTACTTGTTGAGTAAGAGGAAGGTAACAATGAGACATCTCTCGGGTTTTGTTTGATTCAAATTTATTCATTGAAATTGGTTAATTAATTATTATTCATTGGAAGATTGATGGATGAAAATCTCTATGTTTTTTAGTTTTTAGAGTCTGTGTTTTGATAGTTACTTTTTTTTTGGTAAAATGTTTTGACTTTTGATGGTTACTTTATAAGTAACTTACTTATAAGGTATCAATAAATCAGATATACTTTTAACTTCATTAGAGGATTTGAAGACTGAACTCTCACACATGAAAGATAACTTTGGCTAGACCGGCTTTGAAGTTCAATAAAGAGGCTATTCTTGTTTTATTCTCAGGTGAGTGCATCTCAATAATATTGTATGCCCACCACTGTTGATTCTTTCTTTTAACATAGTGTTTTATTATCTATGGTTCCAAGAGATGTGAAATTCGCATCCGGGTTCCTAACGTACTTGTTATTGAGGGATCATTCAGATTTTGATCACTCAATAATGCTTTTGATAAACACAATTAAACTGTTTTATCACTTGATCCTTATTCTTGAGTGGCATGCAGATAACTGTAAGCTGCGTTGAGAAGCTGCCTACTGTGACTGTGGTTCTTGGAGAACATTTGCATTTGACATTTGGTGACTACTTGTTGAGTAAGAGGAAGGTAACAATGAGACATCTCTCGGGTTTTGTTTGATTCAAATTTATTCATTGAAATTGGTTAATTAATTATTATTCATTGGAAGATTGATGGATGAAAATCTCTATGTTTTTTAGTTTTTAGAGTCTGTGTTTTGATGGTTACTTTTTTTTTGGTAAAATATTTTGACTTTTGATGGTTACTTTATAAGTAACCTACTTATAAGGTATCAATAGATCAGATATACTTTTAACTTCATTAGAGGGTTTGAAGACTGAACTCTCACACATGAAAGAAGCCCATATCGAAGTCACAAACGAGATAGGCCGACGTGATGAAAACGAGCCCACAACAATTCAAGCTCTTCTCCTCTATAACGGTAACAAAGATGATCAGTCATACAGAGCTTATCCTTAGCAAAAAGGAGTCAATGGTACGGTAAAGACAGCTCACACAATTCAGCTGCAAAACCGATTTGATATCCTGCAAGAGTGTGATGTGGCATAAAGCTAAATTGTCTTTTTCTGCTTTAGGGTAACCTTAGTATTCTCTATATAAGGATACAATACTCTGTATTACATTTCCAAGTTTAATGAATCAATAAAGTTGTCTTTTGCAATTTCTCAAAGTTTCGTTTTTACTCTCATGGTATCAGAGCCACATGGTTCACAACGACCAACATGGCAAGCGACACACAGATTCAACCGACCCCTGCCTCATCTCCGAGTGCTACACCAGGAGCGACTCCGGCGGCTCCTCATCAACCTACACATGACCCGACTCGAGCTGCTTTGTCTACAAACCGAGTTTTATCGGACCGTTCAATCCTCCAGTGCCACATGTTTCTCAGGTTCCTGTCACAACACCACTGAACATCTCTCAGTTCGTCACTCAGCGGTTGTCAAGCTCCAACTATCAGATGTGGAAGTCTCAAATGGAGTTCTGGCTCTCCAGTCAGAAGCTGGTTGGACATGTCACAGGAGGAACGCCTCAACCATCTTCGACTACTTCTCTACGTCTCAGGAACATGGTGACTGAGATGCCGAATCCAGAGCTTTTCGTGTGGATACAGAACAACCAGACGGTGTTAGGGTGGATCATTGGCTCTCTCTATGAAGACGCTTTCAGGGCTGTATACGGTCTCACCACTGCTCGTGAGGTATGGTTTGCTTTGGCTCAGAAATACAACCGTATTTCTTTAACTCAGAAACTAGACATTCAAAGGCGTATTCAGACTAATGTTAAGGGTGATAAGTCCTTGTCTAGATATCTCTCTGAAGTTAAAGATTTGTGTGATCAACTGGATTCCATTAATGCTCCCATGTCTGAACAAGAAAAGGTCTATTCTGTTCTAAGAGGTCTTGGTCGTAAGTATGAATCGATTGTTAACTTCATTGAAAACTCAATGGATTCTCAGTTTGATATTTCGTTTGATGATGTTGTTCACAAGCTCTTGGGCTTTGATGAAAAACTTCAAGCTCACCTTGCTGCTGCTGCTACTATCTCACCTCACCTTGCGTTTCAAACTGAGAAAAGCAACTCCTCAACCGGTAGCTACAACAACAATCGTGGTGGCTCCAACAACAATCAAGGACGAGGCTTCAGTGATGGTAACAATCGTGGACACGGTTTTTACACCACTAGAGGTCGAAGTTTTCAGCAGCAGTTCACCTCTGGCTCCAACAATGGAAACAGACCCATGTGTCAGATTTGTGGACGATTTGATCATACGGCTGTGAAGTGCTACAATAGGTTCGATCAGGATTATCAGTCTACAGAAATGCCTACTGCTCTTGCTGCTCTGAAACTTTCTGATACTGATCAGTCCAATGGTAATGAATGGTACCCGGATACAGGAGCAACAACTCACATCACAGGTTATGCTTCTCAGCTGGCTCAGTCTCAGACTTGCACAGGAAGTGATACAGTCATTGTGGGAAATGGGGACTATCTACCCATAACTCATATCGGCTCTGCAACTCTGCCTACAACTCAAGGTACGATTCCTTTGCAGGATGTTCTAGTATGTACCGGTATCACTAAATCCTTATTGTCGGTTTCAAAACTCACATCTGACTATCCCTGTAAGTTCATTTTTGATTATGGCTCTGTGGTTGTGAAGGACACGAGAACCAGCCAGAAACTGTTGCAAGGTCGTAGAGACAAGGATCTATATGTGTTAAGAATCCACGGTGTGCAGCTTTATATTCCACTAGACAGCAAGGAGCCAGCTCTGAGGTGTGGCATCTGCGGCTTGGTCATCCAAATATGGAGATTCTTCAACACTTATCTAAAAAGTAGTTTGCTAGTTATGAATAAGGTAGTCTCTCGTTTATGTGAGGCGTGCCAATTGGGTAAATTCAGTAGACTTCCGTTTGTTTCTTCGGAGTTTGTATCCTCTAGGCAACTTGAGCGTGTTCACAGTGACCAATGGGGACCTGCACCTATATCTTCAACTCAAGGATTTCAATACTATGTTATTTTTGTCGACAGTTTCTCTTGGTTTACCTGGTTTTATCCTCTCAAACGCAAATTAGACTTCTTCTCTGTGTTTTTCATGTTTCAAGAGTTAGTAGAAAACCAGTTCCATTCCAAAATACAGATGTTTCAAAGCGATGGAGGGGGTGAATACATCAGCACTTCTTTTCTCAGTCATCTTCAGAAATGTGGTATCAAACATCTATTGTCTTGTCCCCACACTCCACAACAGAATGGGATATCTGAAATGAAACATCGACACATAACTGACTTGCTCTTTCTATGATGTTTCAGAGTCAAGTTCCACAGAAACTATGGGTTTAAGCATTCTTCACTGCAAGTTTTTTGGGGAACCTTCTTCATTCATCAGTCACCGGCGATAACAAGAGTCCGTATGAGAAACTATATGGGAAACCACCAATTTATACTGCTCTAAGAGTCTTTGGCTGCTCTTGCTACCCTTATCTGCGACCCTACTCCAAGAATAAATTCGATCCAAAGTCTCTGCACTGTGTGTTTTTAGGGTACAACGACAAATACAAAGGATATAAATGTTTTTATCCTCCCACAGGTAAGGTTTTCATCAGCAGACATATACTGTTTGATGAAAGTTCGTTCCCCTTCTCAGGTATATATAAGTCCTTTCAGATGCATACACAAACGCCATTCATGTCTGCTTGGATCAAATATACTTCGACCTCTTCTGCAGGCTCAAACCCTACTACTTCTTCAGAAAATACAAATGTTAACATTGATATATCCTTTGCAGTCTTCTGATTCTCTACCAATGATGACGCCTACTTCTCTTGTAATGGATAGTTCTGGGTGTACGGCAGATACTGATTCTGTTTCTATAGGCAATATCTATCCTATTACACAAGATAGGACAGGCTCACCAATGGCTGTGTCTACTCCAGTCTCATCTTCTGGAACTACTACTGTAACGTCCTCACCAGCAACTATGTCAAGTAATGAAGTGTCCTCTACACCTTCCTCGTCTACATCCCTTCAATCATCTCCACTTCCTGTGTCTACACATAGTCATCCAATGGTTATAAGAGCAAAGACCGGTATCTTCAAACCAAATCCGAGATATGTGTTATTTACAGTGAAGGAGAACTATCCTGAACCTAAAACCATAAAGTCTGCTCTTAAAGTTCCGAACTGGACTAAAGCTATGACTGTGGAACATGAGACTTTACAAGAAACATATGGGATATTGTGCCACCTGATCAAGCCGAAAATGTGTTAGATTGTCGTTGGATTTACAAAACCAAACTCAAATCTGATGGGTCCTTTGATCGTTTAAAAGCACGTCTTATAGCTAAAGGCTACACACAAGAAGAAGGTGTCGATTTTCTTGAAACTTTCAGTCCAGTAATTCGAACTGCAACAGTCAGGTCAGTTCTTCATGTTGTTGTCACTCAACATTGGGACATTAAGCAACTTGATGTCCAAAATGCCTTTCTTCATGGTGACTATGTACATGGTTCAACCACCTGGCTTTGAGGATCCTGACAAGCCAGACTATGTGTGTAAACTTAAAAAGGCAATCTATGGGCTTAAACAAGCTCCAAAAGCCTGGTTTGACAAGTTTAGCACCTTCCTCATTCAGTTTGGATTCATCTGCAGTATACCAGATCCTTCACTATTTGTTTACATCAAAGGAAAAGATGTTATGTTGTTACTTCTCTATGTGGACGATATGGTGCTAAGCGAAAACAATAACGGATTGATTCAAAAGTTGCTTGATTAATTCAATGTTGCATTTTGAATGAAGGACATGGGTCCCCTTCACTATTTCCTTGGGATTCAGACCAAGTTTCATGATGAAGGTCTGTTCCTATGTCAAGAGAAATATACGCGAGATCTACTTGTGGCTGCAAGAATGGCGGAATGTGCCCGATGCCGACACCTCTGCCTCTGCAGTTGGATAAAGTTGCAGGACAAAGCGTTTTGTTCTCAGATCCTACCTATTTCAGAAGTCTTGCGAAAAACTACAATATCTGACCTTAACAAGACCAGATATACAGTTCGCAGTTAACTTGGTTTGTCAACGGATGCATTCACCAACAATGGTTGATTTTAGTTTGTTGAAGAGAATCTTAAGATATCTTAAAGGAACATATACGATGGGAGTAAACCTGAGTTCAAACACTGACTCTGTTCTTCGAGCTTATAGTGATAGCGATTGGGCAAATTGCAAGGAAACAAGAAGGTCAACTCGTGGTTTGTGTACGTTTCTTGGTTCTAACATTATCTCTTGGTCTGTAAAGAGACATGCCAGTATCTCCAGGTCATCGACAGAGGCTGAATATAGAACACTCTTTCTTGCTGCTACAGAGTTAAAATGGATCAGTCAACTGTTGGAAGCAATCGGTCTCCCACAACCTGAAACACCAGAGCTGTATTGTGACAATCTGTCAGCGGTTTATCTCACTACAAATCCTGCCCTTCACTCTCAGTCAAAACATTTTGATGTGGACTTCACTATGTTAGAGAAAGAGTTGCTCATGGAGCTTTGGTTGTCAAACATGTTCCAAGTAAGGTGCAACTGGCTGACATCTTTACTAAGTCTCTTCCACAAGCCTCCTTCTTTGACTTGAGGTACAAACTCGGTGTTGATATTCTAACAACCCCAAGTTTGAGGGGTGTATCAATAGATCAAATATAATTCTGACTTCATCAGAGGATTTGAAGACTGGACTCTCACACATGAAAGAAGCCCATATCAAAGTCACAAACGAAATGGGCCGACGTGATGGGAACGAGCCCACAACAATTCAAGCTCTTCTCCTCTATAATGGTAACAAAGATTATCAGTCATACAGAACTTATCCTCATCAAAAAGGAGTCAATGGTACGGTAAAGACAGTTCACACAATCCAGCTGTAAAACCGATTTGATATCCTGCAAGAGTGTGTTGTAGCGTATAGCTAAATTGTCTTTTCCTGTTTTAGGGTAACCTTAGTATTCTTTATATAAGGATATACTACTCTATATAATATTTCCAAATTTAATGAATCCATATTTCTTTTGTAATTTCTCAAAGTTTTGTTTTTACTTTCATAAGGATCAAAATTTAGTATTAACCAGATTAGTATTGGTATGATACGCAGGGTTTAAATTTAATACCAAAGTTAAAATTATTCTTATTTCTTTATATTTTGAAGATAATGTGGTATTTTGAGTCAAATTCTGATGAGTCCTCCGAACAAGTGAATCGTTAAGCAGTTCACTTATCAAAAAATTAATGGATCTACATTATCATACGATTATTGATTGGTTTATTAGTGGAATAAAAAAGTACCCGATTTGGAAACTCCGAATATTCTATTTTTCAATTAGATCAAAATAAATCTCACACTTTGTTATTTTTCAGTTTTATGCACAATATGATAGGTGAAAATGATTTTTTTGTTCGAAAAAGTTTTGTATATTTGTAATTAATAAAAGAATTGTTATTTTTTGGTCGTCCGGAAAAACATTATTTATTGTAGAATCTTTTATTTAGACAATTTAATTTTATTTATTGTTTTCCTTTTTGGGCATTTTAGAATCTTGTACAAGCTTTATACTTTGAAAGCTGGATTTCGTGTCCCGTTTGTCATCGAAGTAATCTCGGTGCATCTCCTCATCATCGACTTCTTCAGGTTCTTAAATCCGAATCCAAGAAATTGCCCACTGATTTCAATCGTTTCTCACCAGTTTTTCCCCAACTTGATTTTCTTTATTGACGCAGATACACATCTCTGGATATACTCAGTTCTTCCGATTTTGGCATATACTCAGATTCTTCTGCGACAATCGAGCATGGCAGAAGCAGATGGGTTGAGATTGGAGCAAAGGCACGGGAAGGCGAGAGTCAGAGTTGCAAGAGTCTGGCGTCAAAACGACGACGGATCTCATCACTTTGTCGAATGGAACGTTAGCATCAGTCTTCTCTCTCACTGCCTCTCCTCTTATCACCGTGACGATAACTCCGACATCGTCGCCACCGATACCATGAAAAACACTGTAAGTTTCATCAAATACTAATCTTGTGCTTACCCTTTTTCCCGATTTCGTCCAAATCAGTCCAATTTTAGTCAAACCAAATGAAATGTCGTCTAAAATCTGTCTTTGATGTTGTATTACATCACCTTGTCGTTTCTTAGGTCGGCTTAGTTTTGGATTGTAGATCGTAGGTTCATTTGTAATAATGAACAACTTATTAGCTACTAAGGCTGGAGAACATGTTCTTGTTTCACCAACTTTACTTCTTATGAGAGTCAGCTTTTTTTGGGGCTTGATTGGAACAAATGTTGTGTTGGATTGAAGGTTTATGTGAAGGCGAAAGAATGTGGAGATCGACTCTCTGTGGAAGAATTTGCCATACTTATTGGGAATCACTTTTGTTCTTTCTATCCACAGGTATATGTATATGCACTATCACATATACTTTTACTGGTCACTTTGCTTATTTACTCTTTAAAAATGTCTTTCTTCGTTTTCTTTTGTTTTACTAGGTTTACACTGCTATTGTGAATATCATAGAGAAACCATGGGAGCGCGTATGCATCGATGGAAAACCACATTTACATGGTGGGTCTTCTTCTGGAACCGATTTTGATATAGTTTGATATGTTTTCTCAATAAAATTTTTGTCTTTTGATTTGAAGGTTTTAAGCTTGGGTCAGAGAACCATACTACGGAGGCAACAGTACAAAAGTCTGGTGCACTAAACTTATGTTCTGGTGTTTCAGGACTAGCTTTGCTCAAGACAACCCAGGTACACTACATTCTAGTTTTCTGCACATATATGTAGTAGTTGTTAAAAAGATGTTGAATTTTTCTGTATTATCACTGTTATATTTTTCGATACTGGCGAGTCAAATGTGTTCCACTGTCGTTTCACCAGTTTTATCTCTCTTGTAGCTAAGATTCATATGTGTCTCAGAGATTTAGTGGTTTGCAAAACAACTCCTTTAGAGTTTCTTCTTTATTGATGTGCTTCTCTTTAACCTCTTAGCCTGTTAGCCATATCTTTTTTTAAACCTATACATATATTTGTTGCGTGTCTACTCTATGGAAAAAGGAAATAGAATGTAGAGTATTATACCTGTCATGGTTTGTCTGTATATTTTAGAGAGAACAGTCTACTCTAACTTAGGAGCTCGATGGAGAGGAAAGACAAAGAAGAATGATATGAAAAATGAGTGCAAGAATCGAGATTTGATGTTATTATTGTCAATCTATTTTGAAAGATACTTGCTCTGATTCCTAGGATATTGACCATAATGATCGCAAAAGTCAAGACCTGATAATTGATTGTTTACGAACCCACTTTTATGCAAATTAACAGTCAGGATTTGAGAGGTTCGTGAGAGACAAATACACCATTCTGCCTGATACTCGAGAGAGAATGCTGGCCACAGAAGTGAATGCATCTTGGAGGTATGAGTTAGTTAATGATGCTACGTATTTCCTATTTGTGATTGATTCTTGAGACTGAAAGAGACGTTCATGGTGACAGGTACTCGTATGACTCAGTTGCAAGTGTCCCAAAAAAAGGACTCTACTTCAGCGAGAAGTTCATGGACGTAAAGAAAGTTCTGATGGAGACTTTCTTTGGTCCACCAGAAACAGGAGTGTATAGCCCTTCTGTCCAACGCACTCTCTATCTTATGGGAAGCGCTGTAATGAGAAGGTATCATCATATTTGTCTTGCATTCTCCTCACTGTTTGTGTGATTATATGATTCTTACCATGATCAGGTTCTTATTAACATTGATCAGGTTTGCTGATATATCATCGATTCACCTTAAGATGCCAAATATTCACTTTCTACCTGTAAATCTTTCAACCAAAGAAAATCCTTTGATGGTTAAGGTAAAAAATCTTCATGTGTTGTTGCTTTTTTATGTTGATACCATGAAATAAAAATGACTGTATAAAATAATAAACTCATGTACGAATGGTTTCTGATAAATTGCTTTTGCAGTTTAAGGATGATGTGTATCTGCCAACCGATGAACCTCATGGATCTATAGAAGCAACCGTAAGCCGCATGACCTCGAAAATGTAAGGTTTTGGACAATGCAGGGATAGTTTAAAGACTACTGTAATTCACAGGTTCTGTAACTTTTGGCTTTTGCCCTTGCTTATAAAATAAAGAGTGCCACTCTTCATGAGGTGCTATGTGTTGCAACTATAGTGTATCTTCAAACACAGAAAATTTCTGTTATGTATGTCTTTGCAATTGTATGTTATATCTGAGATGTAACCCCACAACGAAGATCCTGAGTTTTAACACAGTTCTCAATCCATTTAGCGGAAGTGAATCATGCTCCACAACAGCTAGAGTATGGGATCAGACACATTGTTGAATGGTACAGAACGTAGAATCAATCATTTTGAAAGCTTACATGTATTCACGCAAACTATGAATATTTTCTGGCCAACAACACAAGAAATGAGAGTAGTACTGGAAATGATTCATCTACTCTTGTTCAACAAGAACAAAAGAACTGCTCTGATAACAAATGTTAGCTTTGGTACCTCTCCAAAGCAAAGAGATTTATAACATAGAAAAGATATTTGTTGGTAGTTAAGACTACCTATACTTATTGTTTTATTTTACATTGATATAAACAGCAAAAGCACACGAAGCAAATAAACAGAGAAGTGGAGTCATTGACTCTTACAATGCCAGAAATGGGAAAGTGGAGAACGCAGTCTATAAACAAGGATAGTTCTCTTATTATCAAAACGAAAACAGAGGAAATTGATAAGACTTCTTCAAACGATCGAGATACTTGTGAGTTGGCTTACGTGGCCGATTGGTTCTTCACTGCCAATGTGTATTGGGTTGCTCAGAGGTGTCACCATATCTTTACCAAGCAGGCCTTGTGCAGCGGCCATACCAGCCTGACATAAACCCACCATACTTTCAATATTGTTCGAAAAAACTCATCAAGAGGAACAATGAATCAGACTAATTATAGAAATGATCAATACCTTTAGCCCGTCTTCATGTAAAACCATTTCCTACAAAAAGGTAAACGGACCAAATGAGTATTGAATGAGATTAAACGAATATGAGTGACAATAGCAAATCTAGGCTTTACCTTGATATGCACCACAGAACCATAGACCGTGTTTCCCTTGAATCTTGTTCATCTCCTGTGAAGCTTTCAGAGCAGAAGCACAGAACAGCCAATGAGCAGTTCTCCATTTGAATAATGTCTTCTTTGGGGTAACTTCAGTATTAAAGGTGAGAAAGAATGGATCATGTTCCTCTCCAAAATTCTGCAACAGAAAGTTAAGACACTTCACTCTCATTTGTTTCATGTTAAAGTTATATCCAAAATGTATCAATATACCTGAATTTTGTTGAGCCAATATGTCAGGCTCGCTTTGTTTTCAGAACTTGTTGGGAAATTCCAAGCGCTCCACTATATTGATTTGGAACCTTTGCCACATAATCCTGAGAACGTCCTGCAACAGTCAGCCACTGTGGGCTCCCAAAGAGCGGAGAAAGAATTTCAAAAACTAAGTTAAGTAAACACTCTTCTTTTTGGTTAAAGACTTAGAAATAAGAAAACACTCTTTATCAGATTCTATATATATGTATGAACCTGAAGCAACTGGTGGTTGCGACAAAACGAAAGAACAGAGTAAGCCGAGAAGTTAAGGACGCTGTCTGATGGGGATCCACATGCCGGTACCTGTCCCAATAACATATATTAAGCTTTCTTGTCTTCCAAGAAAACTCCAAAAGAAATATATATAAGCCTTTTGAAACAATTCAGAGTATCCATGAGAGTTGAGAAACTCTCCTAGGGTTTCGTTTCGGTCGATTTCAGGGTTAAGCTCCGGCTTTTCAATATAGTTTTCTATGTCTTTCTTAAACTTCATATTTTTTGTGATCATCTTCCAGAAAGATGGATCGTTGCGGCTTCCCCATCCGCCGTCTTTGCCATTGTTAAGGCTCACTGAGAAAGAAATGTCTGTATCCTCCATCTCTACTCCAAGATTCTTGAAGAACTCCATTAGGTTCGGGTACGTAACCTAATTACATATTAAGTGATCGCCATCCACTTAAATTTTATGTTCTTACTTATGTGTTTACATGAGATGAAAAGAAAGAAAGTCAAAAAAAAATACAGTTTCTATATATAAAATATTTTCAGCTTTTAATAGATTTATAACTTCTGTAAGCGTGTTTGCGTTTACAGTTAACACATAAAGAAAATTATTCAAATATTATCATTAAAAAAATTTGTTCATTTATCTCGAAGCCACAACTCGGATTTAGCAGATCTGGATATGGATCCAGATATCCCAAAATTTATTGATATCCGGATCTGTTTCAACCCTAACTAACATTTAATTTTAATCATGAATAATTAACTTTTTGTAAAGTAGAGTATATATTATCAGAGGATTTTACCAGTTATGACCGTAAAATTTTATTACAATGGAAAAAAAATAATTTTTTAAATTATAAATATAAACTAAAGAAAAAAAAAACATGAAAAAAAAGAAAAGGTTTCTAAAATAATAAGAACACAATACTCCTTATAATATATGAACAATTTTCTTTATGTGTTAAATAGGAGTATTTTATATATATATATATATATATATATATATATAGCTCAACTTCTAGTAGTTTACAAATTCGAGAGAGAAAGAAAGAGCAAGGATGCGTAGAGGATTAAAGACACGGTTGCTTTTCCTTTCTCTCTCGATTATAATATAAATATTTACTAATTTTGAAATAAATAACCCGCCCATTTATATTATTTTATAATAGAAATATTTACTAATTTTAAAATAAATAACACATCCATTTATATTACTTTATAATATAAATGTTTACTAATTTTGAAATAATTTTTTCTTAATATCTTTTATGCTTTGATAACCTAATTCGTATAAGACCATAATTATAAAAAAAAAATTTAACTTGTCTCATCAAATTATTATATAATATTAATATTTATCTATTTTCAATATGTAAAATTTTAATCTGATAGAATATAATTAAAAAATATAATAAAATATTTATTAATCATATGTGTTATTCTGAAAATCTTATTTAAATTTTAAATGTTAAATTAAATCTAACTTGTATTTAAAAAAATCTATTTAAATTAATATCTATAGACTATAGATATAACCTATATTTAAGGAAATTTTTAGTTATCTAAATTAATATCTAATTTTCGGAATTAAATATATATATATATATATAAATATTTTTAAAAAAAAATTTGGAAGTGTTTGGAAACAAACACTAAAATATGTGAAATTTTAATTTGATAGAATATGATTAAAAAAAATAATAAGATATTTGTTAATCATATGCGTTATTCTGAAAATCTTATTTCAATTTCAAATGTTAAACTAAATCTAACATATATTTAAGAAAGTCTATTTAAATTAATATCTATAGACTATAGATATAACATATATTTTAGGAAATTTTTAGTTATCTAAATTAATATATAATTTTCGAAATTAAATTTATATATATAAATATTTAAAAAAAAAACTTTAAAAATGTTTGGAAACAGAAACTAAAAATGTTTCTAGATGTCAAAATATGAAGCAAGGACACATAATCCGAGATAAGCTTGATCCTCGCCATAATTCATTGGTTTTAATAATAAGAATTATCAATTTGGTATATATATATATATATATAAATATATGTATTATAGAGAACAAAATTTTTAAAGGTCGATTTCATGTAAAGTCTAGCTGAGTAGCTGGTAAAGTGGTAATCATCTATACTATTAAATCAAAATAATTTTTAGAAAAAAATCTTTCATGAGTTATATTAATGAAAATTAAAAAAATAATCATTAAAGATAAACATATCTTACTATTTTAAACTTATATCTACACAACTAAATAATATCAATATCAGACATTAGTACATATTAATATTATTCGATCATATAGGATGGGTTAGAGTTTATGTTTTTAGGGGGAATTGCTAAAAATATGTCACAATTTGATTCCAAATGCAAAAGTATACCCCAAATTCAACCTATTGCAAAAATAGGTCAGAGGGGTAGAGAAATTACCATTATTAATAAACAATAAAACGGATGTCTCAATTACGATTATAACCCTTCGAAGTCTGCAAATACTAATGAAGTCTGCTCAGCAGACTGATAAAGAAGTCTACTATAATATTAAATATTATTTTTAAATTTAAAAATTATATAAAAATAATGTAAACTGAAGTTTGTTTCCATAAATCAAATGTCAACAAGTATGATCTATTAAAATTATAATTTAATAAATATGAATCATTTTTAACCATCTAAGATAAACATAAAAAGTGAAAAGTTTTAAACTAGGGCTGCAGACTTCTTTATCAGTCTGCAGAGCAAAATTATAAGAAGTCTGCTATATTATTAAATTTTATATTTAAAATTTAAAATTATATAAAAATAATTTAAATTGAAAATTGTTTCTATAAATCAAATGTCAAAAAGTATGATCTATATAAATTATAATTTAATAAAATAAATCATTTTAAACCATCTAAGATAAATATCAAAAATGAATAATTTTAAACTAGGGTTGTAGACTTCTTTATAAGTCTGCTCAAACCGTAAACGAAATTAAAATAAAATATTGATTTAAACCAGAAATAATTAACCTAACCAGATATGACCGGATATTTTTGCCCTATTATATAAATGAGATTTTACCCTAATTCAGAAACTCTCCACTTTGATCCCTCTCTCCAAAAACGGCGCTGCATTTTCTCTGTTGCTGTAACCTCTTTCTTTCTGTTCTCCATTTTTGCTATGTTCTTCGTTCACTTGAGTTCGGATCTGCAATCATCTACAACAAGGACCAAACTTCAGACGACCACGTAAGAATCTGTCCCATTTAATTATTTTACAAATTTTTGTTGATTTCATCTTCTTCTAATGCTATTTTGGTCGTTTTCTTTGTTATTTCATCTTATTGTTAGTACCGATCAACCAGAACAACACACCTCCTTCTCCTCCGCCGTAATCGTAACCGCCTCTGATGAGAAGGATGATTCGAACAAGCAGATCATTCCGGCGTTTATCACGAAATCGGAGACGAAGAAAGAAAATATTCGGCCGGTGACGGAATTTCGGAGGACGGAATCGGCGATAGAGAGACTGAGCAGTGAGGAGTTTCGTTTGAAGGTAGAGAAATTCATAATGGAGAAGAAGAGGAGTCTCGTTCTGGAAAACGACGTCGTCCAATGGCAAGGGCTTGTTTGTGCTGTCTCAGGCTATGGCTCGTGCTAAAAGTTAACTAGCAAGTATTAAAAACACATATAACTTGGAAGATAATTTTAGGAGCCGGTGACTTTTTAGATTCGCTGGTCTTTATGCTCTCATCATCAGAGATGCTTATGTTTTACGACGTTTATCTTTATTACTAATAATAATATAAACCAGTGTTCTAAAAATCGGTTTCTTCGGCCGCCTAGGCACCGAGTAGGCGCTAATAGATGGTGGACCGCCCCGATTTGGCTATAATCGGTTAAAAAATCGGCTAAAATGAAAAAATTATCTAAAACTTAATTTTTTGGTTATAAATCGGTAAACTAATGAAAGATTTAAGCTATTTTGATCAAGATATGTGTGTAACTGATGAAAAAAAGGTAGATATACGAAAATGTCAGAAGAAAAAAAAAAGGGACAATGGTGGCCACTAGGGTTTTTAGGGGAAGAAGATGACTCATGGAAAAATGACGATTTTATCCTTCTCATTTAAGTAAAAAACAAGACAAATGCTTTTTAAAAGTCTCGAACCTCGGGTTGGAAGCAATAAATATGACTCCCTAACCACTACACCACGTTGACATATAGGTCCTATATTCAACTTTACTAATATATAACCTTTATATATATAAAATCATAAAAAAATAACCAAAATTGGAAGCATAATGGTTCGAACCCACGTACTTTGGGCAACAAGAGGATCTGTTTCCACCAGACCACAAGAGTTTGTTAACGTTGTATGCGTTAATAAAGTAATTTATATACTATCAAGACCGTTAACAAAAGTGGCCAATAGTTAAAGTTGAGGACAAACCATGACAGGTAAATGCAAGAATAACTGATTTTTCAATCTTATACAAATGCAAGAACAATAACAAATAAAAATAATTGAAAGGAAGTAGACTTCTAAACTTCTTTAAAAGTCTGCGAAAATAGCTAAATCAAACAAGAAAATTCATTACTTTGTAACTATAACACATAATAACGTCAAATTCATATAGATGCAACATAAAAAACAAATAAACATGTCAAGACAAGAAAATCATTTTTACAAGTAACAAATATTTCAAAAATGAATTTAAAAAAAAAATAATTAGGCAGACTTCTTATGCAGTCTGCTATGATATGCTAATACGTAACAGCAGACTTCATCTACAGACTTCTTTTAGAAGTCTGCTTAGATGTGCTAATTACCTTTTAAATCAAGAAAATTCATAACTTTATAATTATAACACATAAACACACCAAACTCATACAAGTGAAAGAATCATACCTAAAATGCATTTACAAATTTAAAAAATTAAAAAAAATATTACAAATATTTTATAAAATTGCATTTTAATTTTTTTTTAAAATGCAGACATCCGTTCGAAGTCCGCTGGGAAAATTTCACGTTGAAGTCTTCTAGAAAAAAGGTTATTTTTGTATTTGACCAAATATTTGACTTTTTGTAGCAGACTTCTTTTTGCAGGCTGCGAGAAAAAAGGTTATTTTTGCAATTGACCAAAAGTTTGACTTTTAGAGCAGACTTCTGCTAATGAGTAAAGAAGTCTGCTATAGTAGAGAAGTCTGCTTATGAAGTCTACTCTACAAAACAAGTATACTCGAGGTTATTTTTGCAATTGACCAAAATATTGACTTTCGAAGCAGACTTCTAAAGAAGACAGAAGTCTGCTTGTAGGTCAGATTTGCATTTGACCGAATCTTAATTAATTTAATAGCAGACTTCTAAAGAAGTCTGCTATTTTTTTTTTTTTTGGTAGCAGACTTCTTTTGAAGTCTACTATAAAAGTCAAAAGTGGTCAAAATCTTGGTCAATTGCAAAAATAACCTTTCGAGTCAAACTACGAAATAGCAGACTTCTTTAGAAGTCTGCTATAAAAGTCAAAGATCGACAATTTTTTTGGTCAAATGCAAAACTAATTTTTTCTTCTCGCAGACTGCAAAAGAAGTCTACATGATTTTTTTTGTTTACGACAATTCGCGTACCAAATTGAAATTCCAGAAAGTTTAACATTATATCAAAACTTTGTTTGTTGAACCAACTACAATGATCCAAAAAAGTTTTATTACTGGTTCTAAAATATAATTCGGTTCGAAATAAACTGATAAAAATCATTATCTCGAAGAAACATGTTAAAATTCTAGGTATATAAAAAATTTAGACTAATTCATTTATTGTCAGTTGTTTTAAAGTTAGAAGTCAAGAAATCTTAACAAATTTTGTTTTTAGAAATGCCATTGCAATTAAGTTGGAAGTGTTAAAAAACAATATTCGAAAATGTAGAGATATTTTTGATATTTTTATAACATGGAAAACAATTCTTTAGGAATACAAATCGTCACTTAATTTTTTTGATTTAATATCTTTTAAAATGACATAAAAATAAAATAATTAGTTATACTAGTATTTAAATACCACTGTTATTGCATATTTTTGATGGGTACAAATAGCTTGGTGAAGAGAACAATAGAAAAGCTCCCCATAAAGATTTAAAGGTTACTAGAGAAAGAAAAAGTTGCATCATAAAGTATTTTATGAATCAAGATGAAAGGAAGCAAAGGGTTGTTTAGCGATATGCAACATCATGTCAGAATAAAGTAGTTGTAGAAAATCAAGATGCAAATGGTTTTACGATAATTCTTCACAGGACAATTGACATGCTAGTTTGGTAAGTTAGGATTAATTTGCATTCTCCCTTTCATTAATAAGTATGTTTAATTTTTATTACAATAAGTGATATTCTAATACTGGTCGTAGCGAAGTGAATCATTGCTCCATAACAGAATCAATCATGAGACCATATCCTTATAAAGTTTACATATATAACTTCCACACGCAAACTATGAATCTTTTCTGGAAAACAACACACAAGAAATGAGAATAGTACTTAAATGTTTGGAAATGATTCATCTACTCTTGTTTATCTCTGAGCAGAAGGGAAGCTACGAAATGGATCCCCGAGTGCAGCTACATTTCCCGGACGTGAGAACACTACCTGTAATGTTGCAGAAGCACATGATCAGTTCATCTAATATTACATGGTAATCAAATAAAGTGTTTTCTGGTTAATAGTCATCTGTGCTACTTGGTAATCAGCAATGGTAAGAGTCTTGAGAGCAGCTGCACTATAGTCGAAATAATATTCCCATGTCCTTATGAATTTATCATCGAATCCAAGATCCATGATTTGTCTGCGCAGATAATAATTGGACATATGAGCAAGCATAACATTCCTAGAACAGAAGGATTTTTTTTTTATTGTAAATATAATTAGCCTACTTCTCATTCTCCAAGAAGTTTTTCCTCCAGCTCCTCAAAGTCTTATAGTAATGGTTTCCGATGTTCTCAACGTTTTCGACGCTGCATTCGTTTAGTGTTATGAGTCCAAGGAAGAAAAAGCTAAAACCTGATAATTAAAAGACTTACCATAGCCTAGAAGAAGAGGCCATAGCTGAAGTAACTCTTGCTAAAGAAGGAAGGCATCCACCAGGAAATATGTATTCTCTTACGAAATCTGAATTTAGTCTGTACTCATTGTAACGCTCCTCGGGTATCGCTATGAACTGTTGTTATTGTTAAACATTAAAAATGATCAATGGTTGTGCAAACATGAGACTGGAGAAAGAAGAAAGCGTTACCTGATGGACAATTATGCCATCTTCTGCAAGCGCAGCTTCACAATGGCTGAAAAATGTTTCCATGAATTCATGGCCAATATGTTCCATCATCTCACTGAAACATCGAAAATCTGATGTCATAAGACATTAGACAAAAATGCAGAGTTATTTAACATAAGAAGAAAAAGTATTACCAAGATATAATCCGGTCATATTTGTGAGCATTAGATAGTTGGCGATAGTCGCAGAGCTCAAACTTAATCCGGTCCTAGCGATTCAGAAGTTGTATTGTTAGACATAGCCTTTGAAATCAGAAACCAAGATCCAGATATTGATTAGTGCAAACCTCAAGTCCAGCTTCTTTCACTTTTTCTTTTGCATATTTAAGTTGTTCAACAGATAGTGTGATGCCAGTGTATTTGCATCCAGTTTTTCTCACAACTTCTATGGCAAAAGTTCCCCATCCGAATCCAATTTCTAAAACCTCATGGTTCTTCTCTATTCTTGCCTGAAAATGTCCCGCTCTGGCTATTAAAGAACAGAGAAAAACAAAGGGCATGTTCTTGTTCTAAATCAAGAAATACTCTTGTATAGATGTTACCTTATCAATCAGAAGAGATATTTTTCTCAATTGTGCAGTTCTCAGATCCTCATCGTCTGACTATGACATGATAATGGGCGAAAGTTTAAAGTCAGAATCATGACATAGTAACAGAGAAAAAACAAAGAAAAAAAATGTCACCTTATATACTGCAGAGGAATAACTCATGGTATCATCCAAGAACAAAGCAAAAAGCTCATTACTCTGCAAAATTAGCCAACGATTAAGCAAAGCATAAACTCAGACTGGAGATGTTCATTTGAGACAGAATGAATGTTGGCATAGGAAAACTTACAAGGTCATAGTGACGAGAAATGTTCCTTCGAGCTTGAGTTAAAGTGTTCTGTTTTGAAACATGCTTTAGAAAATGCTTTGTAGATGCTATACCAGCTATTAGAAACATCGGTGGCCACCACCCCCTGTGATATATAAGACGAATGAGTAATGGTTTGAGAAAATGAATGCTTACTTAATAGCTCAGCTAAAAAAATTGAATCTTTCTATACCTTTTCTTAGCAAAAGTTGAGTTTTTTGAGTTCAGTTCTTTGTTAGCTATGAGAATCTGCAAGTTTTATTTTTATGATCAAGCAGAAAGATGTCACAAGTTTTTAAACTCGATCTCTATGCTTCAATAAGTGTATTTACCGTACCATGATCAAATTCAAAAGTCCTGTTTCCTTATCAACAAACGAAAAATCTCCATTGATATAAGCATCAGCAAGACCTAAATCTGCTTGTGTCATAACCTGTACGGAAAATAAATAAATCAAGAATCCAGTTCTTGAGCTTTTATTTATTTAAAAGAAACAATTTTTACTTATTTCACAGTTTCAACCCTAACCTTCCAGTAAAACTCAGGACTGTGAATCTCTAAGACAGATTTTAAGTGACATCTTGAATCCTTGCCCTCAAAAGTGTACACCAATCCTCCTTCTTCAATTATCCTGTTAGGATCTAGGTAATAAGTAAATGTAACAACGGAAGAAACTACTGACATATTATGGAGGTAGGCATTTCAATAGAGGAGGAGGCTCACTGTAAACAACCGGTGGATATGAAATGTCTCAAGAATCTAGTAAAGAAAAACCGAGCCCCTTTCTCGGTTAGAGACAGGACCATGTGTTTTGGGTTTCTCAGAGGTGTCACCATATCTTTTCCTAGCAAACTGTGTGCAGCCGCTATACCAGCCTGACATAAAATCACCATACTTTCAATGTTCAATGATTTATCAAGTGGAACAATGAAACAGGATAATTATATAATTGATCACTACCTTGAGCCCGTCTTCATGAAAACCATAACCTACAAAAAGGTAAACGAACCAAATGAATATTCAATGGGGTACGTTAAACGTACGAATTTGAGTAAATAACAATACAAAATCTAGGTTTTACCTTGATATGAACCACAGAACCATACACTACGTTTCCCTTGAATCTTGATCATCTCTTGTGAAGCTTTCCAGGCAGAAACAGAGGGCATAGGATGACCAGTGGTCCATTTGAGCAAAGTGTTCTTTGGGGTAACTTCAGGATTAAATGTGAGAAAAAATGGATCATGCTCATCTCCAAGATTCTGCAAAAGAAAAGACACTTCAGTCTCATTTATTTCATGTTTCAATATATTCAAAATATCTTAACATACCTGCATTAAATTGAGCCAATACGTCAGATTCGCTTTATTTTGAGAACTTAGGAAATTCCAAGCGCTCCACGCAACAAGATTCCGCGGCATCAGATCAGTGTCTCGGTGGAGATAAAGATCGCTACATATTCATGACATTGACATGTTAATGAATCTCTTGAATTCAATTTTAACAGATTTTTACCTGTAATTGTATTGGAAAGCACCAAGAACCCTAGTTTCATCAGTTGTGGCTTGTTCTCCAAGCAATCTCAGAGCATCTGGTGCGTGCACAGCTAATATACATCTATCAAATACTTCTTGAGATCCATCTTCAGTTGTTACTGTGACATAACCATCCTCAGATGTCGAAACAGATTTTACAATGCAGCTTGTTCTAATCTTGCATCCTCGTTGCTCCAATTCAACCCTAACCTGGTGCGCAAGTTATATAAGTAACAAAACCAAATCACTTTTAAAGATGAACCTGAAGTATTAATTTGGAACCTTTGACACATAAGTCTTAGAATGTCCTGCAACATTCAGCCACTGTGGCCTCCCATAGAGCTGAGAAAAGAAAAACAAAAAAGGTAAGTTAAGAAAACACTCTTCTTTTTGGTTAAAGACTTAGAAATAACAAAACACATTTAAAGATGAACCTGAAGTAACTGGTAGTTGCGACAAAATGAAAGAACAGAGTAAGCCGAAAAGTTAAGGACGCGGTCTGGTGAACATGGCCATATCGAACAACATGCCGGTACCTGTGCCCAACAACATAAATTAAGCTTTCTTGTCTTCCAAGAATACCCCAAAAGAAATATATATGCCAAAACTCACCAAGTAAGCCTTTTGAAACATGTCAGAGTATCCATGAGACTTTAGAAACTCTCCTAGGGTTTCGTTTCGGTCAATATCAGGTTTCCGCTCCAGCTCTTCAATATATTTTTCTACGTCTTCCTTAAATTTATTGTTTTCTATTAGCATTTTCCAGAAATATGGATTCAAAACGTTCTTTTTCTGAGCAAACAAGCTCGAAAGGCCGTTGCGGCTTCCCCATTCGCAGCCTGTGCCATTGTCAAGGCTCACTGATAGTGACATTTCTGAAACCTCCAAGTCTACTCCAAGATTCTTGAAGAACTCCATCATGTTCGGAGACGTAACCTAACCACATATTGTGACTTGACTTCATTTGAAAAACTTAGAAATATAAACGTAAATATAAATGCAAATGTTACAAGTTCGAGAGAGGAAAGAAGAGCAAGGGTACGTACAGGATTGAAGACTGTGAATCCGAGGTCCAAGTCAACGCCATCAAAACGCATCGTTTTGGCATGACCTCCTAGAGAGTTCTCCTTTTCGAATAACACCAACTCCTCAATTCCATCTTCTTTGGCAAGAACGTAGGCACTTCCTAATCCACTTATACCACTTCCGATCACCGCAACTCTCATCTTTACTCCTTTTTGTTTCCTATCCGAAACTCATTTTCTAAAATTCTTGGACAAAACCGACTATCCAATGATCAACGAAGGATAAAATCATGCAGACAAAAAAAAAACATACCTTTCTTTTTTGGCACAAGGTGGATTTGATTTAAAGATGGGGATTTGTCGATGTTTCAGTCGTATGCTTACTTATATAGAAATAAGCTTGAAGGCTAGAAGCTAAAGGCGTGTCTCACGTAGACATATTATATATGACTTATATAAACAATTTTTGTAACAAAATAATTACAGATAGATAACGTGATCTTCCTTCTAGTTTAATGTCAAGAAGCAAGGCCCCATAATTCGGGATAAACTTGATCTTCGCCATAATCCACTGACAAATATGACAAGACGTTTGCATCCTTTGTCACTTATTTTTATTTTTATTAGGATTTAGGAATATTTTTAGGATTTTGACATTTTGAAAAAAAGTATTAAGAAAACTAGCACTTTGTTTTTTTTTTTCAAAGATAAAAAAAATATTTTCGAGTATTAATAATTCCCACTTTGTTTACCATACACATCCAAATTTTTCGAGTTTGCCTCTATTACAACATAGCTTACACATAGAAGTAGAGAATATTACTATTATGTGTACTTTTGAAAAATATAATTGCCAAAAAAAACACTTAACCATAATAATTTAGACCGGTTTGTTTTAAGTTTTTTTTTTGATACATTATCAGATAAGAATCAATAAAAAAATGACATGTAATTGTCAAAAATCGGTTAAACGGTTTTTTTGCGGCCGAAACTTTTTTTACACTGACACGTAAGCGAAATGGGTGAAACTCGTTGTGAGCGCGATATATAAGCAAATCACTACACAAACAAATAAATATATAGATTTGATATAAGAAAAAAAAAGTGAAAATAGATTTCATGTAATGTTTAGATGGTGATCAATTTCAAAGGAGAAACAAATTGTTTCACGCTATATATGTGAACAACAATTTTTAATTAATAACTATCCACTTGTGATATAGATCGACGTTAGGAGATAAGTCATTTTTAGTACTATTCAAAAGTTGAAACTACATTTTAAAATATATTGAAATATAAAAAAAAGATCTTGTAGTTCTTAGAAATATTCATTTTATCGACAACGATCCTTTCATCGTTTAAACGCAATTAGTTTACGATTCAAGATATAAAGGGTTTTTTTTTTTTTGGGCTCAGACATCAACTTTTATTTCTCCCAACGATTAATACAAAGCATTCATATCTGCCTCAACATAAGACATAATCCGATTAGGCATACTAGTATACAACTTACTTCCCCGCGGAGAGAACATCACCGAATAATATTGCATCCGGGCCATATGATTATAAGGGTTATTTAATTATTATTATTATTATTATTTGTTTCTTCAAAATTTTATTTCATTATTAAACAAGTCCTATTATCAATGTCGCATACCTTGTCATATACGTCAGTGTTGATGTTGTACCTATCTTTTGACTTTAAAAAATAGTGTTTTGCAAAATTTGTCAATTATCTGAATTTTTTGTAGACTTTTAGCATTTGTTCAAAACGCTATTACTAGCACTTTCTCCATTGTTTATGACATATGTGTTGGCATATGTATCTTATATCCAAGACATATGTGTTGGGCCAACCTCGAAGATCCTGAGTTTTAATATAGAATTAGCTTGGAATTCTTTTATATGGTCGTAGCGAAGTGAATCTTTGCTCCATAAGAGAATCAATCATGATCTTTTTAGAAGCTTACATATATATACTTCCACAAGCAAACTATGAATCTTTTCTGGAAAACAACACACAAGATATGAGAATAGTACTTAAGAGTTTGGAAGTGATTCTTCTCTTGTTTTATCTCTGAGCAGAAGGGAAGCTATGAAATGGATCCCCGAGTGCAGCTACATTTCCCGGACGTGAGAACACTACCTGCAATAATGTTGCAGAAGCACTTGATCAAGCTATTAAAATCAAGTGTTTGTTGAGTGACATTGAGGAAAGAAGCATGGCTTTGTTTATCGTTAATATATAGTCAGCTGTTTACCTGGTAGTTTCCAAGGGTAAGAGTCTTGAAACCAGCTGCACAATAGTCGAAATAATATTCCCATGTCCTTATGAATTTATCGTCAAATCCAAGATCCATGATTTGTCTGTGTAATTAATAATTGGACATATGAGCAAGCATATTTAATAATTCTAGAACTGAAATCAGAAGAATTTTTTTTAATGTTTTGCTTACTTCTCTCTCTCCAAGAAGGTTTTCCTCCAGCTCCTCAAAGTCTGATAGTAATGGATTCCGATGTTCTCAACGTTTTCGATGCTGTATTCATTTAGTGTTATGGCTCGAAAGAAGAGAAAGCATAGATTTGAAGGTAAAACCTGATAAATAAAAGACTTACCATAGCCTAGAAGAAGAGGCCATAGCTGAAGTAACTCTTGCTAAAGAAGGAAGACATCCACCAGGGAATATGTATTCTTTTATGAAATCTGAACTTAGTCTATACTCATCATAACGCTCTTCAGGTATCGATATGAACTTTTATGGTCAAAACATTATAAAAACGATCAATGGTTGTGAAAGCATGAGGTTTGAGATTGGCTCCATGGATAAAGTGAGGGAGAAAAGAAAATGTTACCTGCAGGACAAAAATGCCGTCTTCTGCAAGTGCAGCTTCACAGTGAGTGAAAAACGTTTCCATGAATTCGTGGCCAACAGCTTCTAACATCTCGCTGAAGGAAATACAAAATGTTATGTCATAAAACAATAGACAGGTTGCAGAGGTATTCAACTGAGGAAAAACTGTATTACCAAGATATAATCCGGTCATATTTATGAGCATTAGATAGTTGACGATAGTCGCATAGCTCAAACTTTATCCGATCCTGGCGATTCAGAAGTTATATTGTTAGTCTTAGCCTTTGAAAATATGAAACAACATCTAGAGATGGATATTATGCAAACCTCAAGTCCAGCTTCTTTCACTTTTTCTTCTGCATATTTAAGCTGTTCAATAGATAGTGTAATTCCAGTGTATTTGCATCCAGTTCTTCTCACAACTTCTATGGCCAAAGTTCCCCACCCACATCCAATTTCTAAAACCTCATGGTTCTTCTCTATTCTTGCCTGAGAATGTCCCATTCTGTCTATTAAAGAACAGAAAAAAATGACATGTTCCTGTTCGAAATCAAGAAATGCTCTTCTATAGATGTTACCTTATCAATCAGAAGAGATATCTTTCTCATTTGTGCAGTTCTCAGATCCTCATCGTTCGACTATTACATTATAATGGCGAAAGCTTGAACTCAGAACTCAGAATCATGACACAGTAACAGAAAAGCAACAAAGAAAAAAGTGTACACCTTATATACTGCAGAGGAATAAGTCATGGTATCATCCAAGAACAAAGCAAAAAGTTCATTACTCTGAAAATTTACCCAACGATAAAGAAAATCATAAACTCAGGTATGAGATGTTCGTTTGAGACAGAATGAATGTTGCCATAAGAAAAACTTACAAGGTCATAGTGACGAGAAATGTTCCTTCGAGCTTGAGTTAAAGTGTTCTGTCTAGAGACATGCTTTAGAAAATGCTTTGTAGATGCTATACCAGCAGTCAGAAACATCGGTGTCCACCATCCCCTGCGATTTCAAACACAATTTTTGTGTAATGGTGTAAATAAGTGTAAGCTTACTTAATAGCTCAGATAAAAAAATTGAATCTTTTTATACCTTTTCTTGGCACCATTTGAGTTTTTTGAGTTCATTTCTTTGTTAGCTATGAGAATCTGCAAGTTTTTAAATGATCAAGCAACAATATGTCACAAGTCTTTAAACTCAATCTCTATGCTTCAATAAGTCTATTTGCCATACCATGATCAAATTTAAAAGTCCTGTTTCCTTATCAACAAACGAAAAATCTCCATTGATATAAGCATCAGCAAGACCTAAATCTGCTTGTGTCATAACCTGTGGAAAAAAAAAGAAAAAAGAAATCAAGAATCCAGTTCTTGAGCTTCGGAAGAAACAATTTCACAATTTCAAAGAGCTCTGATCACACCTTCCAGTAAAACTGAGGACTGTGAATCTCTAAGACAGATTTCAAGTGACATCTTGAATCCTTGCCCTCGAAAGTAGACACCGATCCTCCTTCTTCAAGTATTCTATTAGGATCTAGCTAATAAGTATATGTAACAATGGAAAAAACTCATTACAGAAATATAGAGCTAGGCATATCAGACAGAGGAGGAGGACTCACGTTATACAACCGGTCGATATGAAATGTCTCAAGAATCTAGTAAAGAAAAACCGAGCCCCTTTTTCGGTTAGAGACGGGACCATGTGTTTTGGGTTGCTCAGAGGTGTCACCATATCTTTTCCTAGCAGACCTTGTGCAGCCGCCATACCAGCCTGACATAAAGATAACCATACTTTCAATGTACAGAAAATCATTAGGAGGAACAATGAATTGGCCTAATTTTAGAAATGGTCATTACTATATGGAAAATTCATTAAGAGGAACAACGAATTGAAATAATTTTATAGAAATGATTATTACCTTTAGCTTATCTTCATGTAAACCATAGCCTACAAAAAGGTAAAAGCGGACCAAATGAATATTGAATGGGATTTAATGAATTTGAGTAGTAATAAAAATATAGGCTTTACCTTGATATGCACCACAGAACCATAGACCATGTTTCCCTTGAATCTTGTTCATCTCTTGTGAAGCTTTCCAAGCAGAGACAGAGGGCAAAGGATGAGCAGTGGTCCATTTGAACAATGTTTTCTTTGGGGTAACTTCAGGATTAAAGGTGAGAAAGAATGGATCATGTTCCTCTCCAAGATTCTGCAGCAGAAATGACACTTCAGTCTTCATTTATTTCATGTTGAAAGTTATCCAAAATGTGTCAATATATACCTGAATTATATTGAGCCAATATGTCAGGCTCGCTTTATTTCCAGAACTTGTTAGGAAATTCCAAACGCTCCACGCAACAAGATTCCGCGGCATCAGATCAGTGTCACGGTGGAGATAAAGATCGCTACATATCGATGAAATTGACATGTTAATGATTCTCTTGAATTCAACTTAAACAGAGTATTACCTGTAAGCGTATTGGAAAGCACCAAGAATCCTAGTTTCATCGGATGTAGCTTATTCTCCAAGCAATCTCAG